GCCCCCCATACGGAGAGGACCCCGGGCCTCGACTGGTGGTTCTGCTGTGGCTCGGGTTCGTGGGGCCGACTGCCGCCCTGTTCGCTCTGTACAGGAATAACCCAGTTGTCTGTCAATCCGAATGGCCAAGTCGACTAAGGAGCTGAGGTCAGGGGGCTCGTCCTTAGTATTAAACTCAGCTTTAATATTATTGTTGAAGCCGTGCCAGAAGGCTGCTTGTAGCGGGCGGTCCTCCCAGCCGGCCTCAGTAGCAAGAACTCGGAAGTCAACAGCATAGTCTAGGACCCGCCGAGCCCCCTGACGGGTCCTAGACTGGGCAAACCTGACAATATGAATAATATGAGGTGCAAACAGACACATTCACATGCTCTTCTGTGTGCTACTGTGCAGAAACAAATACATAGTCCAGAAGTATGGAGTTGGGAGAGGAGAATTTCTCCAGTACCAACAGTTAAAATCCATAATTAAATCAAAGATCAATATAATCAACAACCCACTGCAACCTTACATGCTAGCTGAGGAGATAATGAAATTTACAAACTCAAAGAAGATATCTAAGCTTTACAAGCTAATGTCAAATACAGATAGAACAATAACAATACCAATGACTAAATGGGAAAAGGATTTGTCGCTCCCCCCAGCCTTGACTTCTGGACCGAGATCTGTAATAATATCTTTTCCATGACTACCAATATAAATTTACAGCTTTTACAATATACGACTATTCACAGGACTCACATCACACAAGTCAAAATGTTTAAAATGGGTTTTACTGATACAGATACTTGTTCACAATGTACTCTGGGTAGCGGCGATGATTACCTCCATGCTACTTGGACCTGTCAACCCGTTTACAGGAGGTAACCGAGCGGTAACAGAGAAACTCTCCATCATCTTGAGCTATAGAATCCCCCCATCCCCGTCACTCCTGCCTACTCAGTAATATTTCAGAAGTCAACCACCTACCAATTAAATATAAAAACCCACTTCTTATCTCTCTAACTATCGCAAAGAAAACAATCTTTCTAAACTGAAAATATAAAAACTCATTACACATCAACCACTGGACCAACCTTCTCATAGAATACATCACACTAGAGAAAATATCATCCACCCATAAGAATAATATACCAACCTTTACTGACATTTGAATCCATTTCTAACCTCTTTTAAACTTAAACCAGATGCCTGGTGCCAAGGCCACACATTCCCACAAACTCCTAGAAATATACTATACTTTTAATTTCAATATTGTTATTAGAAGAAGTTTTATTTTATTGTAACATTGTGACACGTACACAATTGGAGCCAAGGGCACCCGGGCCGCTGCGTGCCGCCATCACGGGCAACTTGGGGGGTTCAGTGTCTTGCCTAAGGACACTTCAACATTTGGACTGCAGGCACTGAGACTGGACCCTTCAACCTTTTGGTTGGGAGACAACTGCTCTACCCACCGCACCCTTAGTCCGTGCTTTCTATGCGACTGTTTTGAGTATGTCACACCTATCAATCAAACCAGATTAACTGAGATTAACTTTCTTTTTTCTCTCCCCTCTAATAATTTACAGATTTGTTAATTTCATTTACTTTTGTTTTATGAATATGTCTATACATATATATATAAGTATGTGTATGCAAAATACCCACACTCCACACTTTCACACACACAGCTTAATAACAATTTAACAATCTGCCTGTTTCCTTTGTTAATGTCTGTTGTCTTATTTACTATGTTATGTTCCTTTTCCTGTATATGTTTTATTTTGTGTTGTTTTTTTAAAAAAAAAAGGTGTCGCACAATTACACTATACATCAGAGGCTGTGCTACCAGACCTGTCAGCACAACACCAAAACATTATTGCAATATTACTGGAATGTTGAGAGGAAAGAAGTTGGACAGGGTGTTTAAATAACATAGAGGGTGTAGTAAAAATGCAGAATGTAAAGACTGAAGGAGGAGGGATCATTAGAAAATGTGAGCTGTAATGTTGAGAAGGTAAAAGAAGGAGGGTGATAAATGAGCTGTATGACAGAGTTTTGGCCTTAAAGCTGCCAGAGTTCAGTAGCGTCTCCTTTCCAATGATGAAGACCCTGGAAGGAGCTGATCTCTGTTTTCCACACCTAAACTCCTCCTGCAAGAAGCCTACAATTCAGCACTCCGAGGCCATGTTTAATTATGTTTTTCTTTCCTTTGTTTCTCTGTTCACTGTGATTCTTAACCTGCTGGTCATCATCACCGTCTCCCACTTCAGGCAGATATAACAATCTAAAATGTTATGATTAAAGAAATCAATTGGCCTTTGAGAACAAACTGTTTTGATCTGGTAGAAAAACGCTGTCACACTTAGTCACCAGAGCTACAGTATGTTTTGATTGACATGTACTGTGTATAATAACAAAGCCTTTTTGTCTCTTGCATTTGTGACACAGTAGTGCATTAATCTACAGGAACTAACACAATTATTTTTTATGGCTGTATAATTGCAGTATGTTCAGAGATGATCTTCTACCTCTCCAGGCAACTCCACACCCCCACCAACCTCCTCCTGCTCTCTCTGGCTGTCTCTGACCTCCTGATAGGCGTCCTGCTGATGCCGGCTGAAATCATCTACTCAGAGGCTTGCTGGTTTCTTGGTGACCTTCTGTGTACGCTGTATTATGTTGCAGACTACACCCTTACCTCTTCCTCAGTAGCCAATATGGTGCTCATATCAGTTGACCGCTATATTGCTGTTTGTGACCCTCTGTGTTATCCCACCAAAGTCACTAAGATAAGAACACAAATATGTGTTTGTTTGTGTTGGGTTTGTTCTGTTTTCTATAGGCTTTTCCTCTTAAACGATCACCTGGAACACCCAGGCAGGTCTAAATCCTGTTCTGGAGAGTGTGTGGTTGTCATAAATTACTTTGCAGGGGTTGTTGACTTTGTTTTCAGCTTTATTATACCCATTACTATAATCATAGTCTTGTATACAAGAGTATTTGTGGTGGCTGTGTCTCAGGCTCGTGCCATGAGGTCTCATGTTGCAGCTGTAAAAGCGCAACCTTCAGGGGCTGCAGCTGTGAAGAAAACAGAGATGAAAGCAGCCAGGACTCTTGGTATTGTTATAGCTATATTTTTGTTGTGCTTCTGTCCATACTACTACCCCACTATGGCAGGTGAAGACACTTCAGTTGATGCTGCAGCTGTTGCCTTTCAGATCTGGCTGGCACATTTTAACTCCTGTTTGAATCCCATCATCTATGTCTTTTTCTACCCCTGGTTCAGAAAATCAATTAAACTCATTCTAACACTTCAGATACTGAAGTCTGGCTCCAGTAATACTAAAATACTATTGTGATATGCATTTGTCTTTAAAGTGAGATATTTCTTGAAAATGAGGGAAATTAAATAGTCTCTTATATAAAAACCTGTTAATGTTTTTAATTGCATAATATACATGAATATATACATTAAATTCTTGATTAATCTTTTTTTAGGGACACACTACACACAGACATTTACAGTATATATGAAACCTCAACTGAATGTTAATAATATACTTTGGTAAAACCTGAGGCAAAAACATAATGACACAATCATAACCTTGAGTATAATATTGAAAAGGATCATTTTATTTGTGTCAGTTGTACTTTCAATATAGTTTCCTTTGTGCAGCTATGTTTAAAATAATAATTTAACTCTGTATTAAATAAAGATATGAGGTTTCCTAAATTACTCTGAAAATGAAGACCAAGGCTGTGCATAATTGTATTACCCATTTCTATGTAACTAGGGCATACCTTATGGTATATGATTGATATTTTTGATTTTCTTTCAGGTCAGGGTGATTCCAGTCTTCTCAGGAAGAGAACACGAACAAGCATAAAATGGATTCAATTAAATTTTTTTCCTCATCAATCTACATACAATACTCCACAATGAGAAATTGAAAACAGCTTCATGAAGTGTTTTGTAAATGTATTAAAAATATAAGACTGAAATATTCCATTTACTTTAGTAGTCAGACCCTTTGTTATGACACTTACAATCAAGCTCTGGTGCATTCTACTCCTATCAGTGGTAATTCTACAGCTTGATTAGAGTGCACCTATATCTACTATATCTACTACTATTTAATGTACTGGATATAATCAGGTAAGGCACACACCTGTCTATAAAAGGTCTCATATTTGATGGTGTATGGCAGAGTGAAAACAAAGCCATGAGTTCGAGAGAACTGTCCACAGACCTGCAAGACAGGATTGTATCAAGACAGATGTCGGGAAGGATACACGAAAATTTCTGCAGCATTGAAAGTGCCCAAGAGCACAGTAGCCTCCATCATTCTCAAATGGCAGAGATGTTGATCCATCAATGGTCTTCACAAATCTGGCCATCCAGCCAAAATGAGTAGTAGTATTTCTATGGAGAACCAACTCGGTTTATACGCGCCTCACAAACTCTTGCTCGTGAGACTTTTTTTTAACAATATAAAGTATTACGTGATAGTTTTAAGGATTTCCTTGAATGGTCATAATCTCCAGTCAGTTGTGTGTTCATGTGAGATTGCCTGACATCTGCCAGTGCCATTGTAAAAGCGGAATTTTTCGACTGCACAGTTTTGTGGATATATTTTACATGCTTTTCATGTTTGCATGTTGTCTGTCTACATCTCAGCCCTGTGATAGACTGGAGCCACGGTCCGGAGGAACAGTCCATTGGGGAAACACAAAACAGTAGCTGGCTAGGGGATAAAGACATACAAAACAGCGAAAAAAGCACGGAGAAAAATTGGCCTAGAGACTAGAATGAACTGGCAAGTGACTGAGGAGTGAAACCAGGTAATATAGTGAGTAACCTAATCAAGTGCAGCTGGTGATAAGGGAGTGAGGAACAGGTGAACGTGATTAGTGTTAATGGGCAAGAGACAGTAGGAAAGGTGAGGGAGGCCAGAGCAGCCGAGCAAACCTGACAGGACCCCCCCCCCCAAAGGATGGATACCAGACAGCCAAGACACCAACCAAGGGAGGGAGGCAGGGGCCACCGGAAGGAGGGACTCACCGGGGCCCCCCAGGCCTGCCCGGGTGAGTGCGGTAGAAGGTGCAGAGAAGGGCAGGATGCAGAATAAATGAACGGGGAATCCAGGACCGTTCCTCCAGACCGTAACCCTCCCAGTCTACCAGATATTGGAAACCCCGGCCCCTGGGGCGGACATCCAGGATCTGCCGGACTGTGTAAGCCGGACCACCCTCCACCTCAAGGGCTGGTGGAGGCGCAGCCGGTGGTGGACAGAGGGGACTGGAGTCCTGGATGGCAAAAGGCCACAGGAACCGGGGAGACAATTTGGGGCAAGCCCCTTTGATAGGAATGTGGGTGGCCGAGAGCCAAACCTGTTGCCCAACCTGGTAGGTAGGAGTGGCCCTACGGCGATGATCGGCCAGGCGTTTGTTCTGGTCGGCCATGCGCAAGAGGGCTGGTTTCGTCCCAGATTTGGTGGCAGTGAGTGATATGGGCGTGGACTGAGGGAACGGCGATGTCGGTTTCCGCGGCAGACAGAAGAGGTGGTTGGTAGCCAAGGGAGGCCTGAAAGGGCGAGATACCGGTGGCAGAACAGGTGAGGGTGTTGTGGGCGTATTCTACCCAAGGCAACAGCAGACTCCAGTTTTCAGGTGCGGAACTGAAGACACAGCGGAGTGCGTTTTCCAGCTCCTGGTTCAACCGTTCAGCCTGACCATTAGTTTGGGGGTGATAACCTGAGGAAAGACAGGGGCGAGCGCCGATGGCAGTGCAGAAGGCTGACCAGACATGTGAGGTGAACTGTGGACCGCGGTCGGAAACAATGGTGAGGGGAGTGCCGTGGATGCGAAAAACGTGTTGAACCAGGAGCTGGGCTGTTTCGAGAGCAGTGGGGAGCTGAGGAAGGGCAAGAAAACCAGCGGGTGACTGATGTAAGGGCTTGGACTGCGCACAGGGAGAACAGGCGGCTACGTACTCCCTGGCGTCTTTTTCTAGGGTGGGCCGCCAGAAGTAATGTTTAAGGAGGGAGATGGGAGTTGGGCCTCCCGTATGGTGTCTTCGATTTGCCATGTAATGGTGGCCACCATACAGGAGGCGGGCAGAATGGTTTCTGGTGTTTCGGGTTTGGCTGGGGGACTGTACTGTCAGGACAGAGCATCTGGTTTTTGGTTGCGTGACCCCGGCCGATAAGACAGGGTGAACCGGAACTGATCAAAGAACAAGGCCCACCTCGCTTGTCGGGGGTTTAGTCTTTTGGCAGACTGGAGGTAGGCCAAGTTCTTATGATCGGTCCAAACAAGAAAAGGTTGGGCAGCACCCTCAAAGAGGTGCCACCATTCTTCGAAGGCGAGTTTGACTGCCAGCAACTCTCGGTTGCCTATGTCATGGTTTCGTTCGGCCGGGGTCAAGCGCCGGGAAAAATAGGCACAGGGGTGTAAGGCGAGGTCTCCCTCAGACCGCTGAGGGAGAACCACTCCCACACCAGTGTCGGACGCGTCCACCTTGACCACGAACTGCCATGAGGGATCAGGCTGGCGCAGTACGGGGGCTGAGGTGAACCGGTTTTTGAGATCTTGGAAGGCCTGCTCCGCTGTCCTGGACCATGCAAACTTCACCTTGGTGGAAGTGAGCTGGGTGAGAGGGGCTGCTAT